ACGCAAAGACACGGCGCGAGGTGGGGTGGTAAAACTGCCAACCAGGCGCGTCAGGGACAAAGCCAAGGAAGACACAGGGAACAGCGCGGGCGGAGAGCTTGTCCGCAGTGGTATCGCGGACAAAGGCACGAGCACCCCAGACCCGGAAACGCGACGCATCGCCAACCTTCCCCGTCCACAGCAGTGTGGGCGAGGTCTCCGGCAAGGAGACACGGGGCCAAAGGTTGAGCTGATGCGCGGCGTACCGGACCGCAAACGGCCACAGAAAATGGGGGGCAGCCGCATGGATCATGGAGGTACGAGCGACCTCCATGACTAAACCAATGCGGCGCTCAGCAACCCCATTCTGCTGCGGAGAGGCCGGAAGCGTGAACGACTGGCGGATGCCGTGCTCCGCACAGTAGGCTGCCAAGAGGTCTGAGGTGAACTCACCACCTCTGTCGGAGTGCAGACGCAGGACAGGAAAGTCCCGCTGGAACCGGTCGCGGAGCTGGAGACGAGCAGCGCGGATCCAAGGGATAAAAACTGCAGGGACGTCCCCCTTGCTCTGCAAGGGGAAGACCGTGGTGTAGCACGTGTAGTCGTCGACAACCAGCAGGAAGTACCGCTCGTGGCCCAGTCCACGGACGCGGGCTGGGCCCCACACGTCCAGGTGGAGAGTCTGCAGGGGAGCCTCTGTGGGAGGGAACGAGGAGGAGTGAGGAGCGGCGCGCTGCCGCCCCTCGACGCAAGGAATGCAGGGCGGCGCAGGTGAGGGAGGGAGAGCAGGCAGAGACCTGGGAAGACCAGAAACCAGGGAACGAGAGTGCATGCCACGAAGGCGAGGCAGGGAGGGGTGACCAAGGCGGTGGTGCCACAGGAGAGTGTCGTGCGACAAAGCGCGACACTCGCAGGGGGCTGCCAGCTGACCAGACATAGACGCAGTGTGTACAGACTCGAGCCAGGTGCACGGGTGAACGTGGCCAAGTGTCGGCCCGTCCGAGCACACGTACAGTGAGTCACTCGCTGACTCGCAGGAGTGAACTGGTCAACCCCCCCATCCTGGAGGTCAGCTCCACCCACCAAGTTCGTAGAGAACGAGGGGAGGTAAAGACCTGACAGGAAGCCAGACGGGACGGCCGGACACGGCAGAACCGTGGAGTAGTGGGCAAGGACTGGACCCCCAGAGGGGTCCGCCAGGGAGACCGGAACTGGCCGACTGAGCGGCGTGAGTGTGGTGCAGTCGCGAAAGAAAGAGCGGGAAGCTCCTGAGTCAAGGGTGAAGGTGTGCAAGACCGCAGCAGGCGCAGTACCAGAGAGAGCAAACTCACCAGCACCTAGAGCAGCAGTCTCACCAGCACCTAGAGCAGGAGACGCACGAGCACCTAGAGCAGCAGCCTCACCAGTACCGAGAGCAGCAGGCGCTATACCAGGGTCAGGCGGGACGCACAGGTAACAGGCACGGTCAACACTAGTAGGCAATGCATACATGGCAGTGAGAATAGCATCATAGTCAAGTGCAAAGATATCTACCCTCTGTCCAAGCAGCTCCGGCCAGGCAGGGAGCTCAGCCTCGTCTCCAAACACGGTACGCCAGGCGTCGCTCAGACGGGCGAAGCAGCGGGACTGTGTGTGACCAAGCGTCCCGCAAGGCTGACCAGTCCTAACACCTGTGCGAATGACGTACGGGCAGCGAACGGTATGCGTAGACATACTACACTGAGTGTACCACTCCTGGAGCTGCCGGGGCGTAAGTGTCTCGCGAGGACGCCCCTGCAGCTGCAGCTGGCCACTGCCAGACGCCCCCAACTGACCAGCTCCAGGGCGACTGCTACGACGGCTACCTCGACAGCCCCAAACCCTATACCACTCATCAAGCTGCTGGGGCGTGAGAGACGCGCAGGAACGACGCTGGAGCTGCATCTGGCCACCTGCTAATAGCAGGAGTAGTAGCAGTAGCGCGGGCAGGGCAGGCGCGGCAGGCAGGCAGGCAAGCAGGCAGGCAGGCAGGCCGACAGGCAGGCAGGCAGGCAGGCAGACAAGCCGGCAGGCAGGCAGGCAGGCAGGCAGGCAGGCAGGCAGACAGGCCGGCAGGCAGACAGGCAGGCAGGCAAGCAGGCAGGCAGGCAGGCCGGCAGGCAGGCAGGCAGACAGGCAGGCAGGCAGGCAGGCAGGCAGGCAGGCAGGCAGGCAGGCAGACAGGCAGGCCGGCAGGCAGGCAGGCAGGCAGACAGGCAGGCCTGCAGGCAGGCAGGCAGGTGCTCACCAAAGGCTGGAAGAGCAGGCGCTCGCCGGGCGAGCAGGGTCGGCGCTCGACGGGCGGCGGCCGAGTAGGCGCACGACAGCGGCGACGTCGGGGCCGCAACAACGGCTGCAGAGTAGGGCCGCGGCAGCTGCAGGGCGGGACCGCTTCAGCGGCAGTCGCAGGGTGGGGCCGCGTCAGCGGCAGGTCGGGGTCGCGGCAGCTGCAGGGCAGGGCCGCATCAGCGGCAGGTCGGGGCCGTGGCAGCTGCAGGGCGGGGCCGCATCAGCGGCAGGTCGGGGCCGAGGCAGAGGGCCGCGCGCGACTCGGCGCGGGCTGCGCTGACCGCGCACAGGGCTACTACAGGCCGCGCGCGGCCGCGCTAGGCAGTAGCGGGCCGCGCGCGGCTCGGCGCGGGCTGTTGCGGGCCGCGCGCGGGCCGCGCGAGGCAGTAGCAGGCCGCGCGCGGCTCGGCACGAGCTGCTGCGGGCCGCGCGCGGCTCGACGCGGGCTGCGTGGGCTCGGCGCGGGCTGCGCGCGGCAGCAGCGGGCTGCGCATGGCTCGGTGCGGGCTGCGCGCGGCTGCAGCGGGCTGCGCGCGGCTCGGTGCGGGCTGCGCGCGGCTGCAGCGGGCTGCGTGGGCTCGGTGCGGGCTGCGCGCGGCTGCAGCGGGCTGCGCGCGGCTCGGTGCGGGCTGCGCGGGCTCGGTGCGGGCAGCGCGCGGCAGCAGCGGGCTGCGCGCGGCTCGGTGCGGGCAGCGCGCGGCAGCAAGGGGCCTAACGGTCTGCAGGGGCTGTTCGCGGGCCTGAAGGGCGTGTAGGGGCGGCGCGCGGGCCTTACGGGCCTCTAGAAGCAGCGCGCTGGCCTAGGGCAGCAGGAGGCAGCGCTAGGGCTGCTGGACGGCGCGCGTAGTGCAGCACGTCACAAGGCAAGGCAAGGCAGGCAGGTACGTGGGGTAGCGCGGTAACCGCAGCGGTAGGTGGGCCCGAAAAAAAAAAACGGTCCTACGGACCTTAGTGCTCTGAAACCATAATAGAAAGAACCCTAATCAGCAGCAGGAAGATGGGTACAAGTAGGAAACCCTAATTTGGGTTATACCCCATATGGGCTACCCCACTACAGCCTACACAATGAGCAGCATATATGTTTGACAGCGGGGTCCCAGCCGTAGTCGCCAGTGTACTCGCCGGTGATGTAAGACGGGGGGGAGGTGTACGGGCCCAGGAACAGGTTGCGGTCGGGGCCGTAGAAGGCGCTGCTGGAAGCCGCCTTGGCGGTCTTCCTCATCGTCACGCGGGCCTCGACATTGTTCACCTTGGCGGCGAGCTCAGCGCTCTGGCCGACGAAGGTGGAGGGGAGCACGGCAGCGTTGGCGAGAGCAGCCATGTTGTACCTGGGCTGGGAAGAGATGCTGCTGGGTGTTGAATGATAAGACTGGGATTGAGAGCTGCTTCTGCTGAATGTTGAATCGCTTGTGACCTTTGAACCAGAAGTGCTTGTGGGGGAACTAGTTGGCGGAAATCGGGGATGGCCCTAGGTTCGGTCTGATTGGATGACAACTGATTACGAACCGCGTATTCTGACGGTCGGTGATCTCCATTCCCCCTCACCCAGAACCCACGCAATCAGAGCATAGCCAATGGCGAGGTCTGTGGTTACCAGTCGATGTTATTTCGGCTGTGGCGACTTCAGGGTTGGATTCGCATGTGTGGCAACGGTGATGCGATGGTGTATTTTTACGTGTTTTTTCGCTCACATGTTGATGGTGCCAGTCCAACACATTTGAAACACGTGGTCTCCAACAAGATTGGTGATATTTGTTTTGTGACGTGGCGATCAATGTTTTTGGATGAGGTGTGGACCGCACGAAAGTTTGTGTTCTCACGAAAAGATTCAGCACTCGATTTTCCCTGCATCTCCCTCCCACATTGCGACCCGAATGTTTGGTTGATTGGTGGTGGTTTGGAAGTGGGTGTTCGGCAGGCATGGTTTGTGTCAAACACCACCTACACCAGCGCTCTTGTGGCGAGTGTCTGGGTGGTGGGATGAGGGGAGTGACGTTGGGGTGGTTGAATTGGTTCGTTGAGACCATCCCGAGTTTCGGTCGGATGAAACCCCAATTCTCACCTTAGCCTTTTTCACACAATCTAGGGATAGTCAGTTGTCAAACATATATGTATATGTTATATTTGTGGGTAGGCTGTAGTGGGGTAGATCTTATAGGGTATAACCCTTTAGGGTTTTCCTCTTGTACCAATTCTCTCGACATTGCAAACCTCCTTGCCTAGCTTCTAACATCAGTCGCAACTCTGGCTTCTGGCTGAAGTGCGTAAGGGGTGAAGATTTGACGCGGTCTGAAGTACCGTGCTTGGAGAGAGTTCGGGCGATGAACAACAGTTCGCGTTTGTAGGTAGCTGATGTCAACAGCACCAAGTGCCACGTTATTGTGATAATTCCGCCTACAAATGTTACTTTTTTTGCGATGCAGCGTGCCCATAGCGACTGTGGAGCTAAGGTACTGAAAACAGCTGCAGTTGCGAAACTAACTTCCCAAACGTTCAAACGAAATACTTTAAAACGTCTCACGCTCCCACCTCGTTCTGCTTTCTCGTTTTCCAAAAAGAACAAAATCTCTCACATCACAAGTATCCGACCTACTGTGCACGCAGGAAGAATGTCGTGGTAACTGTGTTTCGAAAAGAAGTATTCATGCATGTTGCAAATACCATATATTTTTTGTATACTATTAAGAAAAATGTACAGGGAAGGGGTTATAGATTTAAGCACCGGGGGTGAAGTTGGTGGCATAGGCCCACGCGTTGTTGACGGTGGGGTCAGCCAGGTGGTCGGACAGGTTCTCTAGGGGACCCTTGCCGGTCACGATGGCCTGGACGAAGAAGCCGAACATCGACACCATGGCGAGGCGGCCGTTCTTCAGCTCCTTCACCTTCAGCTCAGCGAGAGCATCGGGGTCGTCAGCCAGACCCAGGGGGTCGAAGGCACCGCCGGGGTACAGGGGGTCCTCAACCTCTTGGAAGCCCTCGAGGCCACCCACGCGGTAGCTCTCGACGGCACCCATGAGGATGACCTGGGTGGCCCAGATGGCCAGGATGGACTGCGCGTGGATCAGGCTGGGGTTGCCCAGGTAGTCAAGGCCACCCTCCGAGAAGATCTGAGCGCCGGCCTTGAACCACACGGCCTCGCCGAAGTTCACGCCGTTGCCGGCCAGCAGCTCGGGGGTCAGGCAGCCGAGCGCGCCGAGCAGAGCCCAGCGAGCGTGGATCACCTGAAAGATTGAAAAACAGGCGAAAGGACAATCAATTCGGTCAGTAACTTGAAACTGTGGGCGTCGTTAAGCAGCGAAGGTGAGAACGTTTCAGATTTGTCGATAAATAAAAAGGTGATACGTTTAGAGGGGCTGGTTCATCTTCTTTCGTGAGAATAGCGTCTCATATTCGTTGCTAGAGTTTCCGGTGGGCTTACCTCCAGCTCACGGTTCTTGGCGAAAGTCTCGGGGTCAGCGGACAGGCCAGCGGTGTCCCAGCCGTAGTCGCCGGGGTACTCGCCGGTGAGGTACGACGGGGGGGAAGTGTAAGGGCCCAGGAACAGGTTGCGGTCGGGGCCGTAGAAGGCGCTGCTGGAAGCCGCCTTGGCGGTCTTCCTCATCGTCACGCGGGCCTCGACATTGTTCACCTTGGCGGCGAGCTCAGCGCTCTGGCCGACGAAGGTGGAGGGGAGCACGGCAGCGTTGGCGAGGGCGGCCATTGTGGAAATAAGAAGCTGCTGTGTAATATTCCTGGATGAAATGAAGTTGACTGCTGATGGAATGTTTGGCTTGTGATGCCTGTTTTGTAACTGGAGAAAACGATGAGCTCGGGGTGAGAGGTATTTCGAGCGCGACAGGGATTGGACGCCGACTCATCACGCACGCACCGCTTGGTTTCCAAGTCCGCGATGCTTGGGGATCTTCCATACCCGTTGTCCGAATCCTCGCAATCCAAAATTGGCCAATCGGTGTGGACTAAAATTTCCAAGAATGGGTAACGGGTTTGTGCTATTGGCGCAGTGAGTGAGCGATGTTTTGCGAAATTGATTCGCCTGGTCGTCAGCCCGCCAAGCACCAGGCGAGATCTTGTGTGACGTGGCGTGGAAACTGATTCGACAGCGTCCAATCGTTGTTGACGAAGTCGATTGTATACATTAAATTGCGGTTTAGTGAGGTGCTCTGTGCAATAAAACGGTGGATGTGCTGACACCTTATCCTGACAACCGTTTTATATCTGCTAGAAACGAACCAAACCGTTTCCAACCTCCAAATTTGGTACATAACCCAAAAGGGCTCATTTCTTCCTCCCTGCTTGCCTTGCGCACAAATTGGAGTTCGGCTTTCAGCCGAGCTGACATACCAGCCACATTCCCGCAGCCACAGCCGATAGCAGAGAGTAGTTCACGGAAATCGCAGCTGCTACCAAGGCCTGCTGTTTTGACAAGCAGACGGCCCGCGTCAGCTTTCAAAAGCAATCTCGAAACTTTATTCTTTTCCTTTCCATATTTATCCGTCATAAAGAACGAAGACTTCAACTTATTGCAGAATGTCGTCATGTGTAGACTTGATTGTAGTGTTTTCAATTTCACTGATCTCCAAGTTACACCGCGACTCCGTGGCGGCGATGTGAAGCGTGAGTCGTGGGGCAAGAGCATGGCGGGAAGGCCGTTGGTGGCAGCAGAGGTGGTGAGTTCTGGGGCGACGCGCTGAGTGGTGGCTGCCGCTGCTCGGCTCGACGCGCTCTGCAGTCGGCTGTGGTACCACTCACCGCCTGACACGTGCATTGCTCGACAGGTATGATAGGCGTCGTGGTACCGAACGGGCACGTCAACTGGTCAAATATATTGTTCAGCGTACCTCGTCGCCCGTCGCCTTGTCACCTTCTGCGCCGGTCACCCCGCCGTCTCTTCCGCGGTCTTCCTCTCACGCGCGCTGGCCCGTCGCTCTGCGCACCTGCGGCCCGCCTGCCAGCTGCCGCGTGATCGCTGCTCGCACAGCCCACCACTCGCACCTCTCTCCCGCTTTTAGTCTCTCTTTTTCAAACTCTCCCACAGTCAGAGACAGTCCGGGTGAACTTACGCAAAAAGTCCAGCGGCACAATCTACAGTTGATTCAAAGTACGTACGTGCTCCGTGCATGTTCAGGAAGCCGTTGGTCAGATGAATATCTACTGCATCACCAGCCATGAGTGGACAGTAAAAGGTGACGAGCTACAGACGGAAGAAAAGCTCTGTACAAGCGACTCTGCGCCGACCTTATTGCGGGTAAGTGGTGCGTGCCTGTGAAGCCTCTATGAATTTCCGCTTGTGCAAAGTGCAGAAAGCCTCTTCTTTGACAACACCCCGTTTTTGGCTCCAAGGTGGGAACCGTCAAGGTGGGAACCGCGAAGGTAGAAATTGTCAACATGAATATGACGCCCCCCCAAAGACGATTTTCGGGATGCCCCCACATCGCCGCTCCCGCCGCTTCCGTTTCACGTGCCTCCCGCCGTCTCCTCGTCTCCTTATTCCCCTCCCGGCCACTCCCGCATCTCTCCCCATAGTCTAGCCTGCCCACACACACCTCTGCATGGCGTCGTACGCGCTCTCTCGCGCATCACTCCAGATAGTCGCGGCACTAACGCTGCATTGTCAACCCTCACGTATCTTCATCCCCCCTCTCCCTTCATCTCCCCCCCCTCCCTTCATCTCCCCCCTCTCCCGTCTGTCCCCACCCCACCCTCTCCCGTTCCCCCTATCGCCCCCCTCCCGGGGCATGGCAGGCATGAGCTGCGGGGCATGGCAGGCAAGAGCTGCGGGGCATCGTGCTGTGTTTGCTCATCTGCGCCATGATACCATTTCAATCGTCCTCGCCACGTCATCGTTGCTTGGCGTCATCCCTGCACGTGTTGCTTCTGCTACGGCTGCCCACCCACCGTCGCCTCTGCAGTCGCTACAGCAGGCGGCGCCACATGAGTGGGCGTCACATCAGTGGGCGTCACATGAGTGGGCGGCACATGAGTGGGCGTCACATGAGTGGGCGCCATGCCTCTTGGTGCTTCACATGCCAACGGCACTGGTGAGGTGAGGTGGTTAGTTATGGCGCAAGCATGCATGCACACAAGTACACATGCATCCCCATGCCTCAGTCCCATGCTCATCTCACAGTGTACACATGCACGCATGCACTCCATGCCCGTGCCTCGAACCTCATGCCTCATCTTCCAATCATATACTTTCAACTTCCCATGCCCAACCCATCTTTCCACTTGTTTCCTCCTCTTCCCCTACCTTCTGTTTCTCCCATCCATTTCCTTTCCCAGTGGGTCCTCCTCACTATCTTACGCAGTTGTCTCTCCTCTCTCACCCACCTCCTCTCTCGCTGTTGCTGACTTGCTTTTGTGCGATGTGATGCTCCTCTTCCTCCCACCCATTTCCTTTCCCTGTCGGCACCCCTCGTCCTTTCTCCCACCCCTTTTTCTCTTCAACGGCATCTCCTCCCTCACGCATCTCCTCTCTCCCGCCTCCCCTCTTCCCCGTTTCTCCCGCCCATGTGCCGACCGCACCGCCCTCACGGTGTGCGGTGGTGCAGCAGAGGGCGGCAGCAGCCATCTCCCATCCCAGCAGGGGGTCGCCTGCCCTCCGTGCCGCCTGCTCGCATCTGCTCGCACTGTTGCTTGCAGGGGAGGTGAGGGAGGTGCGTGGGATGGGGGAATGGTGAGCGGGGAAGGTGGGTGATGCATGGGGTGAGTGGGAGTGGAAGCAGAGAGAGGGTTGGTACAAGGCTGTGGGAGGGGCTGTCGCTGCTGGCAGGGGAGGCGGGGTGGCAGAGGCGGATGGGGGTGAGGAGTGGGAGGAATAGGTGAGAGGGGTGGAGACAAGGGGAGGGACGGAGGGCATTGAGGGGACGGAGGGCATTGTGGGGACGGAGGGCATTGTGGGGACGTGACTGGCAGCGAGTGGTGGCTGGAAGAGGAGGTGGGAGTGAGAGGGGTGGGAGTGAGAGGGGTAGGAGTGAGAGGGGTAGGAGTGAGCGGGGTAGCGAGGGTCCAGGGAGATGCGAGCGAGGCGAAACCATGTTGTCATTCATGCCCTGCCAACGCACTCTCTTCTCTTCCATCTCCCTTCCTCCCCACTCCCTGTCACCCTCCCTCGCTTCCCCTCCCCACCCACCAGGCAGCAGCGCCTGTTGCTCAGATTCCTCCCTCCCTCTCACTTTCTGCCTCCGCTTCTCTCGCGCTCTCTGCGCTTTCGCCTGCACGCGCATGGTCGTGGTGGCGGGGGAGTATTGCGCCAGGACTCTCTGCCTGCAAGTGGCGTTCGCTGGTGAGCACGGCGGGCTGGGGGCAGTGCGCATGGGGCAGTGAGGGTGGAGGGTGGAGGCGTCGGAGCGCGTGGCGTGGCCCTGGGGTGCTGTGGAGGGGACCATGGGTCATGGGGCAGGGTGCATGCAGAATGCACAGCACATGTCATGGGGGGATGAAGCACCTGCATGCGCATCCCCCCGCCATGCTCTCCACATGCGCGCACCCCCTCCCCACCCGTGCTCCTCTGAAACCTCCATTCTTTGCTCCTGCTTGCTTACCACCTGCTCAACAATCCTTTCCCTCCCTCCCTTCCTTAAACACTCCCTTCCTCCCTCCCTTCCTTAAACACTCCCTTCCTCCCTCCCTCCTTCCCTCCCTCCCTCCCTCCCTCCCTCCCTCCCTCCCTCCCTCCCTCCCTCCCTCCCTCCCTCCCTCCCTCCCTCCCTCCCTCCCTCCATCCCACTCTGTCTTCACGCTCCTGCAGCAGCAGGGAATGACAGCCAGGCGTCAGTCACTCCCCCACGCCCACGCCCACAGCAGCCCCAGGAGCGGCACTGTTGGGGCTAGAGCTAGGTGGGGCGTGTGTGGGAGTGGGAGTGGGAGTGGGAGTGGGAGTGGGGATGGGAGTGGGAGTGGGAGTGGGAGTGGGAGTGGGAGTGGGGATGGGAGTGGGAGTGGGAGTGGGAGTGGGAGTGGGAGTGGGAGTGGGAGTGGGAGTGGGAGTGGGAGTGGGAGTGGGAGTGGGTGTGGGCGTGGGGCTGGGAGTGGGAGTGGGAGTGGGGATGGGGGTGGGAGTGGGGGTGGGAGTGGGCGAGGGAGTGGGAGTGGGGGTGGGGGCAGCAAGGGTTTCTGGACATCAGCATACAAGCCTCTCCTTCCGCCCTTCTCTTCCCCTCTTCTCCGTGCTGCCCTTCTACCCACCCACACCCTTATCTTGCTGCCACACCTTGATGCTTCTGCTCCACCCTGCCTCATATGCTGCCCGGGCGGGAGGGGCATTGCTTCTGGCCGCTGTGTCATGTGAAACCACTGCATTCATCCCTCTCAACTCAGCATGCTCTACTGTGTGTGAGGATGGCTGTCAGGTGAATTCAACAGTACTGCTCCTGCAGGAGAAGTCGAGGTGTATGGTTATTGAGCTTGTGCAGTGTACACTTAATCACATCTACCAAGGTGTTACTAGACCATTCAGGGTTGCTGCATTCATTCATACCCTAATGCATGAAATATACTCATAGGGTACTCGCATCAATCTGTGCCTACACTCTAATCGAGCTCAAATAGAGTGATCATCGCACTTGTTTTAAGGGTGTGTTGTGAGTGCGATTCTTAACAACCTCGCCGCACGCAATCTTCATAGCGTGCCCCCGATTTAGCCCCATCCCCATATGTTATAGGGTTTGGGAGAGCATATTATGTTGGGCTGAGAAAAGCCCTTAGGATCTTTTGCAGGGATGGACTCTGGGTAGAAACTTGTTGTAACAGCGGAAGCTTTAATGAAGAGGTTTGAACCACCTTGCGCTAGTATGTGAGGGCAAAGTAGATTGATTATAGCAAAGAGATACAAGATTATATAATAGTACAAGGAATACGAAAAGATACGGTTGTAACTACTTTACTGTTGCTGTTGCGGTTCGATACAGTACGACTCGGGCAACTGCTCTGTAACGAGTCAGTTGTGTGTCCTTAACTGTCGCGCTGCACTTGTCAGGTCAAAGGTCGCTGACCTTTGACTTTCGCGTAACCTCCAGCAACTTCTCAACCTCCGAGGGTTGACTCACGGGTGCTTCGGTATGGTTCGCTTCGCTTCTGGTGCGGTGTTTCGACACGACAGAGGCGCTTAAGATTTACTGTTTCCAACACTCCCCTTCGCTTCTGGAGTGTCGCTGCTGATGACGTGGCTTTGTCCAGTCAGCAGCATGCAGTACTCGAATTTCTGCCTCCCGAGTTTTTTGGTCAAATAGTCGGCTGCCATCTCGGACGTGGGGCAGTATGACAGCTCGAGTCTCCCCTTCTCGATCTCGTCCTTCACGAAGAAGTAGCGCAGGGCGATGTGTTTCGTCCTGTTCGCGAAGCCGTTCTTGTTGGCGATGCGAATTGCCGACTGGTTGTCGCAGAACAGGGTGAAGTTGGGTAACTCGGCTAACTTCGCTTCTTCCAGTAGCTCGCGAAGATAAAGGCCTTCCTTGGTGGCTGAGCAGAGTGCAATGTGTTCTGCTTCAGCTGACGATAGTGCGATTAACTCCTGCTTGCTCGACTGCCAGGAGATAGGACCGATAGGTTCGAGGCGGTAGATATAGCCGGTGCGCGAGCGCCTGCTATTGTCGGAGTCGCCGGCGTGATCGGCGTCGACGTAACCGATTAGCTTAGTCGGTGTAGTTGCGTTTTTGTAATAAGTTAGGCCGATCGTTGGAGTGCTGACGAAGTAGTGAAGAGCGCGGTTGAGCTCCGCCAGGTGTTCGGCTTCGGGCCTTTTGAGGTAGGTGGCGAGCTGGCTTGCGGAGTATGAGAGGTCAGGACGGCAGGTGACGGCTGCGAAGAGGAGGCATCCTAGCTTCCTCTGATAGTCGCGTATGCCGGCGGGTTTGAGTAGAGCGGATCCTCCCTTGTCAGTTCCTGTCGTGTAGCGGTATGGCGTGGAGATCGCGGTCGGCGTGAGAGCGAAGCGCTTGGCGATGGTGTCGGCGTACTTCTCGGCGCTGAGGTAGATCGCGTCTTCTTCTTCTCGGATGTTGAGGCCGAGGTACTGAGTGACGGTAGACGAGACTGTGAGCGTGAGATCTTGCTGCAGCTCCCCTTCAAACCAGGTGGTGATGCCGTCGGTTGACCCGATGTAGAGGAGATCGTCCACGTAGACGATTAGTAGGATGTAGTCGGTGTTCTTCGTGAGCCGGTACATGCCTTGGTCGTGCGGGAGTTGCTTGAAGCCGATGCGGGTGAGACGAGCATGAAGGTATTGTTGCCACAGTCGCGGGCTTGTTTGATCCCGTAAAGCGACTTGAGCAGCTGGCAGACATGCGTGGAGTCTGTGTTGGAGCCGTGTGGTAGCTCCACGAAAATCTCTGCGTCAACAGGTGCGTAGAGGAATGCGTTTGCGACGTCGATTTGTCGCAGCTTCTTCTTCTTCATGGCGGCGATTGCGAGGAGGATGCGAAGTGAAGTGTGGCGGCTGACCGGAGCGAAGGTTTCGGTGAAGTCCCGTCCGTGCTCCTGGTCGAAGCCGCGTACGACCCAGCGCGCCTTGAATTTGTGGATGGTACCGTCTGCTTTCGTCTTCACACGGAAGACCCATTTTCCGGTGAGGATGGTCTTGTTTCGTGCTACGCCGATGGGAACGACTTTCCACGTGTTGCGCTCCTCTAATGCCTTCAGTTCCTTGTCCATGGCTTCGCGCCATTTTTCCCTATGCTCCCCCCCCAGAGCCTGCTGAACCGTTGCAGGCTCCTTAGGAATGGCGGCGCCGTGGACTGCGGTGACGAGCCCGAGTATCTGAAGTCCACTCTGTGTGTAGCGGGGGAGTGTTGTATCCTCGGGATAGACTGCTTCGTCTCCAGCTTCTGGATCAGGTATGAAATTTGGTCCTACGCGTTCTGCTTCGTTGGTGTTGACTTCAGCGGGTGTAACGTAACCGTTGTCGGCGAAGTGGTAGTAAACTTCGGCGTTGATGCTCTCGCGCGGGTTGTCGTCGTCCATTGGAACATCCACGGAGCTGTAGAGAAGAGGTCCGGCTTCTTCCGAGGCTCCTTCCACGTTCTGCTCGTCCCAGTCAGCTTCGTCTTCTGCCGAGGCGAAGGCTCGGGTGCCAACAAATCCGCCCGAGGGATCAGGTCTGTTGGCTCTGACGTACGCGAGATGAACGTCGAGGGTGAGGTGTTCGTAGAAGATGACATCACGTGCTGCGACTGTTTCTTTGCTGTTGATGTCGAAAATATTCCACGCGTTGTAGTGTTTTTTGATGCCCAAGTGTACTCCCCATTGTGCTCGTTGGGAGAATCGGCCGGCGCGTGCAGATGGTGGTCGGTACTGTACCATGCACCCAAAAACTCGTAACATTTTTGTGCTGCCCAATTTTCCTGTCCACAGCAGATGCGGTGATGCGTTGTTCGGGAGCGATGATGACGAGAGCAAGTTGTGCAGCATGACGGCGTGGTCCATTGCTTCGGGCCACTGGTGGTTGGGCAGGTGCATGCCACGTAGCAGCTTGCGCATGGTGGCTTGGAGTGTCCTGTTCATCCTTTCTGCTACACCTTGTTGTTGATGAGCGTAGGGAAGGGAGATGAGCCGCTTGATTCCCCTCTCTGCCAAGTAGTCCTTGAACCTCTGTGAGGTGTATTCTCCTCCCCCGTCTGACTGGAAGCTTTTCAGTTTTACGCCCGATTCTCTTTCTGCTGCAGGAAGCCAGGCGACGAACGCTTCGAAGGCCATGTCGCGGCTGGGTAGGTTGAGGTGCCAGACGTATCTGGTTGCGGCGTCGATGAAGGTGATCGTGTAGTTGTAGGCGTTTTGTCCAGGCTCGCGGTTGTACAGGATGTCGCTGTACACCTTTTCGAGTGGTGCGTAAGCTGGTGCGCTTGGATTGTGGTGAAATGGAAACGGTTGATGCGTTAAGTCTGCTTCGGGGCAGGTGAAGCATGTTCCTCGAGCTCGTTGAAGTTCTCTGCCGTCGGTCAGTAGAAGTGAGTCTTTGTCAAGCACTCCTGCTCTTATTGTGTTGTTTAACACTGTGTGGCTCGGATGTCCCATCCTTGCGTGCCAGGTTCCTTCAGTGGCGCGGTGTCCGGGTGAGCGGCGGTACATATCGGAGTTGGAGTAGAAGCCAGCGGTGACGTTCGCACTTCGGTGGATTTCTCGTCGTGTCGGGTTGAGCTGTTGCGCGGGTGTCAGTGGCGTGTCGTCGATCGAGGGTCGTATCGTTGAAGGACCGGCGACTGGTGTTGATGTTTCTGCTACTGCCATTGTTGTCTCTGCTGCTGCCGATGTTGTTTCTGCTGCTGTCGATGTTGTCTCTGCTCCTGTCGATGTTGTCTCTGTTGCTGCCGATTGTTGGATCATGGCTAACGCCCGTGTTCTCTCTGTCTCAGGGATGGTATGTGAATACCAGAAGCCGCCGGGGCTGAAGTCTGGATCAAGATCTGGTGGGTGCGTCCAGTTGGTGAAGTTGACGATGGCATCACTATCCGCGGTGCCGAGATCAGGAACAAAGTCGAGGACGAAAACGTTGTTCTTCAAGACTGCCTTCCCGATGTAAAGACCTCCTTTCCCGTGGTATAGTTTGGACTCCTGGGTGGTGCTGTCTGCTTCAAGATGAATGCCCTTCGCCATCAGTTGACTGACGCTGAGTAAGTTGTATCCGAGGCCTTCTGCGATTAAAACCTTGGACATTTGCAGAATGACGTTTGTCTCCCGTGACTGAAGTTGAACGATTCCTTGTCGTCGTGTGCGCAGGTTCTGATTGTTGGCGACGGTGATGACTACTTCGCGTTGGAGTTGGTACTCTCGTTGTACGAAGCGTCCTGAAGAACACATGTGTTGTCCGCAGCAACTGTCCAAGAACCACGTGTCCTTCCCGGATGGCTCGCTTTGGGCGATGGCGGCGTATGTCGGGTTCGGGTGAAGTAACTCGCGTCGAGGAGTGGTTTCATCGAGTTGTTCTTCCGGTGAGTAGTACGGTGGTGATTCCGTGATGCAGGATTCGCTTAGTCTTGCCATGCAGCTAACGATGTTTCTTGCTCCTTGTGCAGGTTGTCCCGTTGAGGTCGTTGAAGCTTGGATCTGGGTCGTGGGATTCGCTTGTGTTGAGGCGACTTGACTGCTGGAAGGTCGAAGTTGCCGCTGCGGAGTTGTTGACTGTTGACGATTCGGGCAGTGTGTGCGCGGATGTCCTGACGTCTTGCAGATGTGGCAGAACGGAGGTACGGGCTTCGGTTGTTGTTGTCGATGATTGTTGTTGTTGTAGCGTCGCTGGGTGTGAAAAGCGAATTCTGATGTTGTCGTCTTCTTTCTGTGTCGTTCTTCTTGCAGGTCCATGTCTTGCTGCTCGGCGTGGATTTCGGCGCAGAGCGCTGCTTCAGAGATTCTTCCGTGGGCTCGGAGGATGGCCTTTGTTGCGCGCCATTGGGGACCGAGGCCGCCGATGATGACTGTCACGAAGGCGTCTTCAGATATTGACCCTCCGCATCGAAGAAGCTTGTCGCGCAATTCGCGACATCGGCTGATATACGCCATTCCTTTCTCTCCTGGTTTCATTTCGACCGCTGTCAACTGCGCCATTAACCTGCTTTGATTGACGCTGTCCGTTGCTTGATACAGGCTTTTGAGGTGGCTGTATGCGAGCTCCGCCGAGTTGCCGAAGGCCCGGTAAGACCGTATGTTCTGCTGCTGAGTCGGTGTGACGTTCCTCAGTAGAATCGTGTACGCCATCATTGACTGATAGGTGTACTGCTGTTTCTCATACTGTGTGCCGTTTGCTGGGTATTGCAGGGACCCGTCGAAGAAGCCAAGTATCTGCGCGCCCTCCATCATCAGCTCGAACTCAAATGACCAGGTGAAGAAGTCCTTTCCGTCGAAAGGTCTTGACGTATGCAGCTTCAGAACGTGCGCGAATTGCGATTGAACTTGTAATGCGTCCAGTGGTTTGTCTTGTCCAGGTGAAGGCTGCGGCATGAAGCTGATTGACCCGCGCTCGTACGGTGCAAAGGTAGGTTGCTGCTGTTGGTTTCCGCGCGCATATGACGACCCGTCGAGGCTCATGGGCGTTGCTCCGTTGTTGTTGCTGTTGTGTGACTGCGCAGGTGCCGATTGCTGGTGTTGCTCGTAGAAGGACATGAAGGAGAAGAACTTCTCCATCATGCTCTGGTCGAAGTCCGCAGGTTGATTTGTGGGAGTCTCAGTGGACGTTGCCCTTGGTCTTGTTGCCGTGCCCTCCTCTGTCTGCAGGCCAGAGGCAGGAGGTGGAGTAGGAGTAGTACCCGGGGAGCCGTTAGAGGAGCTCCTTTCCTTGTTTGTTGCTATGTCTTATGATGGATCTGATGTCTTGATAGTAGTTGAGTTTCCCTTGTGAGCTCTCATACCATGTTGGGCTGAGAAAAGCCCTTAGGATCTTTGCAGGGATAAACTCTGGGTAGAAACTTGTTGTAACAGCGGAAGCTTTAATGAAGAGGTTTGAACCACCTTGCGCTAGTATGTGAGGGCAAAGTAGATTGATGATAGCAAGGAGATATAAGATTATATAATAGTACAAGGAATACGAAAAGATACGGTTGTAACTACTTTACTGTTGCTGTTGCGGTTCGATACAGTACGACTCGGGCAACTGCTCTGTAACGAGTCAGTTGTGTGTCCTTAACTGTCGCGCTGCACTTGTCAGGTCAAAGGTCGCTGACCTTTGACTTTCGCGTAACCTCCAGCAACTTCTCAACCTCCGAGGGTTGACTCACAGGTGCTTCGGTATGGTTCACTTCGCTTCTGGTGCGGTGTTTCGACAGAGGCGCTTAAGATTTACTGTTTCCAACATATTAAAGCGCACGTCACACAGGTACGATGCGCCTCACCCAAACCTTGGCACATTTATATCATCCTATTCGCACATTTAGGATCTCATCCGCATTCATCGCCCCTGAGCCGCCTTCGTCATGGATTTATGCTCATTTTATGCCTCCCATACACTCTCTTCGCGTTCGGTCCGCATTCGTCGCCTCCCTTCTCATTTTGCCGCCTCCCATCCGCCTCCCATCAGCTGGAGACGAACAGCGCGGATCCAAGGGATCAGAACAGCAGGGACATCCCCCTTGCGCTGCAAGGGGAAGACCGTGGTGTGGACATCCCCCTTGCGCTGCAAGGGGAAGACCGTGGTGTAACGCGTGTAGTCGTCGATGACCAGCAGGAAGTACCGCTCACGGCCCTGCCCCTGGACGCGGGCTGGGCCCCACACGTCCAGGTGGAGAGTCTGCAGTGGAGCCTCTGTGGGAGGGAACGAGGAGGAGTGAAGAGCGGCGCGCTGCCGCCCCTCGACGCAAGGAATGCAGGGCGGCGCAGGCGAGGGAGGGAGGGCAGGCAGAGACCTGGGAAGCCCAGAGACCAGAGAGCGAGAGTGCATGCCACGAAGGCGGGGCAGGGAGGGGTGACCAAGGCGGTGGTGCCACAGGAGAGTGTCGTGGGACAGGCGGCGGCACTCACACTGGGTAGCTACCTGAGCAGACGCGTACAGCTGTGGAGACAAAGGGGTGTAGCGTGAAACAGTGGTGAGGGTGTACAGACTGGACCCAGGCTCACGTGTGAACGTGGCCAGGTGGCGGCCAGTCTTGGAGCACGTGAGGATCGCCACACGCTGTCCTCCAGGAGTCCAGGTGTCAACCCAATGATCCTGAAGGACGGCGTTGCTCACCAGGTTCGTAGAGAACGAGGGGATGTGGAGACCTGACAGCTCACCAGACGGGACCGCTGGGCACGGAAGCACAGTCGTGGCTCGTGCAAGCACTGGGTACCCAGAGGGGTCAGCCAGTGAGACAGGGACAGGTGCAGGGAGGGGAGTGACTGTGGTACTGTCGCGAAAGAAACAGCGGGAAGCACCAGAGTCAAGTGTAAACGTGTGCAAGGCCTGAGCTGACGCAGTACCAGAGAGGGCAGACTCACTAGCACCTAGGGCTGCAGTCTCTATACCTGGGTCACACAAGTAGCAGTCACCCTCGGCACTAACAATCAATGCATATATGGCAGCATGAATCGCATCATAGTCAACATCAAGATAGGAACACCACGCCTAAGCAGATCTGCCCAGTTGGGGAACTCAGTAGCATCAGGAAACCTGGCGTGTCAGGCGTCGCTAAGCCGAGCGAAGCAGCGGTACTCAGTGTGAAGGCTGTTGCATGGGCGACCAGCATGGGGACCTGCGCGAATGATATAGGGGCAGGGACCAGGACCCCAACACGCCCCACGCCCGGCGTACCAGTCGTGGAGCTGCTGAGACGTGGGGGTCTGGCGCTGACGCTGCTGCTGCTGCTGCTGCGGCTGCTGCTGCTGCTGCTGCTGCTGCTGCTGCTGCTGCTGCCCCTGGCCACCACTGGAGCCCCCAGTCTGGCCGGTCTACCCCCAGCCCCCACCGCCGCCGCCACCGCCACTCCCCCATCCGCCACCACTGCCGCTGCCACCGCCACTGGTCCCGGCACCACCACCGCCCCCACCACCACCTCCACCCCCACGACCACCCCCACCACCTCCACCTCCCCCGCCGCCTCCACCATCGCCCCCTCCACCGCCACGTCCACCACCCTTGCCGCCATTGCCTCCCTTGGAGCCGTTGCGCTTCCCACTAGGAGCGAAAGCAGCTGCGACGTTCTCAGCACCAAGGAAGTCGACAGCAGCAGCAGCAGAGGCGTAGGAGGGGGCAAGAGGGGAGGGGGAGCATCCCTCAAAGAGGGGAGTGCGGGGAGTGCCACGAGCAGCACCTACAGCGAGAATGTTCTTTTCGGCTGCTAGGAGGTGCTTCTCGAAGTCGTCGACAGTGAGAGTGGTGGGGGCTAGGGCGAGGAAATGGTCCCTGACCGAGCTAAGAGTGTCAGGGAGGCGGGTGACGAGGAAGTAGAGAGTGAAGTAGAGCGAGGGGGGGGGGGGGGGGGGGTCTTGGCGTGGAACTCGTCTGGAAGGGCGGCACGAAAGCGAGTGTCACTAGCGCGAAGGTGAGGAATGAGGTCCTCAGCGGTGGTAAACGAGGACAGGTCGGGGAACAGGTAGGGTAGCATGAGACGACCTAGGGCTGCAGTGGCCGGGGAGGAGTAGCGCGCAACTACAGCGTCATACAGTGCCTTAGCAGTCTTGTGCTGGCTAAAATGCGCGCGCTCAGTGATTGGCAGATGATGCGAATAGCGAGGCACTGTCACTGTGAGCGGTCGAGAGCAGGAGCATCGTCAGCAGGAGCAACGGCAGTGCCAGACGCGTGATCGAACAGTGAAACGCCGTCTTTGGCATCAGTCATAAGAAACAATTGGAGGTCGGCGAGCCACGTGGCGAAATCTATCAGGCGACCGACAGGCTCAAACGCGAGAACATGAAGCGTCGCCATAATCGAAGTGCAGGCAAAGGCAGCAGGCACAGGCAGCAGGCACAGGCAGCAGGCAAAGGCAGTAGCACAGCCAGCAGGCAAATAGAGACTGTGCGCGGGGCCGCAGAGTGAGCGCGCAAGCAGCAAGGGCGGCGCTGCCGCCCCTCAACGCAAGGAATGCAGGGCGGCGCAGGCGAGGGAGGGAGGGCAGGCAGAGACCTGGGAAGACCAAAGACCAGGGAGCGAGAGTGCATGCCACGAAGGTGGGGCAAGGAGGGGTGACCAAGGTCCAGTCTGTACACCCTCACCACTGTTTCACGCTACACCCCTTTGTCTCCCCAGCTGTACGCGTCTGCTCAGGTAGCTACCCAGTGTGAGTGTCGCCGCCTGTCGCACGACACTCTCCTGTGGCACCACCGCCTTGGTCACCCCTCCTTGCCCCCCGCCTTCGTGGCATGCACTCTCGCTCCCTGGTCACTGGTCTTCCCCGGTCTCTGCTTGCCCTCCACACCTCGCCTGCGCCGCCCTGCATTCCTTGCGTTGAGGGGCAGGGCCGTGAGCGGTACTTCCTGCTGGTCGTCAACGACTACACGCGTTACACCACGGTCTTCCCCTTACGCAGCAAGGGTTAGATCCCTGATGTTCTGATCCCCTAAATCCGTGCTGTTCGTCTCCAGCTCCGCGAGCGGTTCGAGTCGGACTTTCCTGTCCTGCGTCTGCACTCTGACAGAGGTGGTGAGTTCACCTCCGACCTCTTGCGAGCTTTCTGTGAGGGGCACGTCATCTGCCAGTCGTTCACGCTTCCGGCCTCTCCGCAGCAGAATGGGGTTGCTGAGCGCCGCATTGGCTTAGTCATGGAGGTCGCTCGTACCTCCATGATCCATGCGGCTGCTCCCCATTTTCTGTGGCCGTTTGCGGTCCGGTACGCCGCGCATCAGCTCAACCTCTGGCCCCGTGTCTCCTTGCCGGAGACCTCGCCCACACTGCTGTGGACGGGGGAGGTTGGCGATGCGTCGCGATTCCGGGTCTGGGGTGCTCGTGCCTGTTATAGTCACAATAGGCTCCAATAGGCCTAGAACCAAAGATAGAGTGCGCAGTCAGATTTCTGCACAGCGGCTTTAAACATTCATAACAATCTGCTCACATGTCCAAATGACCTCATTCAACTTGCATCTAGAGCGTCTTAATGTCGCCTACAATAGGAAATTTAGATCGCACGATTTCATCAAGAATTGACGACACAGCATCAGATTGAAACGAACGGCACTATGGCAGCAACATAGTCTTAGGACACACAATTACGAACAGCTAGGAAGAGTTACAAGTTGGGAAGGACTCCCAGCTCCTACAAACCCCAAGAGCCGAGGTACAGTGATGGGGAACAGTGCCACACTGTCCCCAATCAAGAAGGGTCTCGAAACTACTCTTCACAAGGGCCTACACCAGCTGAAATGTTACACAGCACTTTGTAATGTAACTATCTTCAATATCTTGAGGTGTAGCCTTTTGGCGAGCTTCGAAAACACTTGAAGCTTGAACCAAGGCTCGGGTTCTTCATCACAAAACTCATCCTTGAGTTCTTGATGGGTCTGCTGCACACACCTGCGACACGCCGAACGTGGAGGTAAGGGAATCATTGTGATTGGTGGAACATCCGCCGTGACTATCCTTGTGAAGGCCTTGCAATTTTTGGCTATGAATGATGAGTTACGTGATGCATATGTTCGTGAGTACCACCTTTCGGGAGAGTGATGCAAATTGTAAAACGGCATGGTACTTGCCAGATAGTTGATACACTTGATACCCACCCTTTGTTTCCCCCTAAACATGTTAGGGTGACCTCGCTTGACGTGGTGCTTTATACAACTTCATTGTATGGTCCCCTAACTTATTGATTGATGGTAGTGTTGGCTGTACACAACTTGACATTAATTGACCACTACTCAAACGTTGTATGATAAACATTACTATCTAAACCAATCAATCACACAAAGAGTTACACCTTTGTGTCTAACCCTACGCGTCTTGCGGCCCATAACTGGTCAGCCAACAACTCCCATCGCCGCCTACCAATCTCTGAAGATGCCCTCGCCGTGAGACCCGCGTTCCTGCATTCCACGATCATCATGTCCCTGCAGATTATCCTCGTTCCGCTCAAGGAAATCACGACCACCCGCTTTCTTTATAAAGTTGTGTAGGACCATGCACGCGATAATGATCCTGCACTGGACAGAGTGTTTGTAGCGGCGCATAAAGTTTAAGATGGTGAATCGCGCTTTTAACTGGCCGAATGCTCTCTCGATGTGCGACCGTAGCGTAGCATGCGTGCGATTAAACAACACCTCTCGACGTCGTGGGAGAAAGCTCGCATCTTGTCATCGTTGTTAGTGATACATGGTGGCTCGATACGGTGCTAAACAGTACGCGTCGTTCTTGAAGCCCGAATTGGCCAAGAGATACGTTCCTCGCGGCTAAGTAAGGCCCTTCGCGATCGCATCTTAGAAGACTGTGTAGTCATGAGACGAACCCTCCCAACCTACGAGCACGTATATGAATATGTCTCCCAATGAACAGGCAGCCAGGACGTTCTGCGTGACATTCCCATGTTGGTGTCTAAACGTTTGCTGTCTATCAGCGGCTATGCACGCCGTCACGAGCGTTCCGTCAATCGCTCCTATGGCGTCCTTGAAGAGCAAGTAGTCCGCGCGACCCCCCAAGAGTGATTTGTCCGGTCATTCAGGAATACGTATGAAGTCTCGCTTCAACCTACACAGCGCCTTTGAGACCCTGTGAACGATTGCACTAATGGTCGATCCGCTATGCTGCCATCGCTCTTGAAGCACTCGATTCGTGGTGGAATGACCGACGAGATTCACAAAGATCATTACTTGGACTCGCGGAGATAACGATGTTCCTTGTCGTAGCCAATCACCCCGATCCAATAAAGCAATAAGATTCTCGAAAAGCGACAGCTCCATACGCAGAAAATCATGCATCCGTGCTGGGTGACCATTTAGTAACCCACGCATGTAGGTCTCAGCACGTAATACTGACGTATTTCTAGGGCGTGGGGAAAATCTGCCGCGCATTATCTGGAACGTCCCTAGCATTGTGGCGAGAAACTTAACAACCAACTCCACTACGACTTCTTTTATAGTGTCTGGTGGTCCTAGTAGGCGTAGTGGGTCAAAACCCAAGTTAAACGGCATAGGGTCCGTCATCTCCGCAAATCTGTGAATGAATCCTAACCCTAGTGGGAGTGGAGCTCTGCTTCTAATAGCTGAGTGACTCCCACAAACTTCTGCCTTTTCCCACAAATTGTTTCCCCTTAACATTTTCCGTACAGTGTTGTTGTTGTTGTTTTTTTTTTTTTTGGATAAACAACCCTTTATTCGCCTCGAAATTGCCTGTCCGGCATGCTGCAGCTTCCTTTATCTTCCGCCATGCAGATTCGTACATCCCGCGCGCCCCCCCTCATCCCTCGGATCCGCCAAGACCTCGGACATGAGGTCAACTTTGGTGGACCCAAAGTTGACACATCACACTAGGGGCGAGCCAAGGCATTTTCGATGCATCGCCCCATCCCTCGCTCAGGCCCCTGGGCTGCCAAACATCGCCTTGGAGTCCTGAGCTGCTCTGAATCTGGCCCTGATTTTCACGAAGGTGACCAGTTTTCTGCCCTTAACGCTCACGGGCGCAGGCCGAATCTAAAACTTGAAATCCGGGATACTTTAACAAGTGTACTTGTAGATGTTCGCCTACTACTTAGCAGCAAAAGGCATATCAACGGGTCATCTACACAGCAGTCTACAAATCTAACTCAACCCTACCTGCTAAACCGATTTTCCAGAGTACTAAGTGATTTTCCAGTTAGACAAATATCCAGTGCGTTTCACAGCCTGCGTTGTTTCCTCTGTGTGATGTTCACTGACTTAACCGAAATTTCAGTGTTCGTGTCTCGCACAGACCTACGAGGTGTTTGTTTGTCGTAATTAAAGGCCCCGCCCTCGCTTGGGCGCAGGCATTCTCTGCGACGACGTGGTGAATCCGACGAAGTGATCGTCGCCTTGGTCAGCCCGTCCTCTGAAACCGCGGGTGGTTTTCGAGGAGGTTGTCATCTGATTCACCAGCCCATCAACGAGCACGACAGGGTGCTGTTCGACGAGCTCATCTTCTGATCTGCTTCTGGGACGCTGGATCTCTGAAGGATGGGGTGCTTTCAGAGGAGCTGCGTTCTCTGATCGAAGGGCGATGTTCGGCGAGTCTCATCTCGGCAAACTGGCTGGCCGAATTCGCACGACTGCGAAACTCCGCGAAGGCATGCGAAATTCGCTCAGGTGGCTCTTAGCGAAATTCGACCTGTGAAATGGCATCACGTGCTCGATGGTGGACAACTGACAAAACCGTCAGAGCGTTTTCTACCTGGCACCTGCACAATGTCTCTGACGGTGCAACTGTCTACTTGCACCTACTCGGCAGGTGCACACCTGCGCAGATATTCACCTGCGAATGCAGCGCTGGCAGGCCGCCCTGTTGCAGCGTTGACATGTCGCCCTTCTGCTACACTGGTAGGCCGCCCTGTTTCAGCGTTGGCGAACCGCTTTGATGTAGTGCTGGCAATTCGCCTTGCAGGATTCTTGCAATGCCATTCTAGTGATATCACTTGCATGTTCATCCTTTTGTACTCTAAATCTCAATTTTCAATGTTCTTTCAATTTCCTTAGTGGAAACTCTTGCCAAATATCTTTGTGAACATTGCAAGTAGTAAGAACGCTGCTAGAGCGCTACGATCACCCACACAACCCCGTGCCCTCCTTCGTAGTCCACTCCCGTTGTAGGGTGACTCTCCGCATGGTGCGGTGAGCGTGGAACGGCCCCGCGTTAGAACCTTCAAAGTAGCCGACTTTTGCACCCAATACCTAAGTCGTTGTAGG